CAGCTAGTTAGGGGGTCTGGAGCGCAAGTAGTGTTTGCCTCCATCCCTCCTGCAAGAATGGGTAGGGAGGTATATAGGAAGAGTTTGCAGGTCAACGAATGGTTAAGAGATTGGTGCCATAGCCAGGGTTTTGGTTTTTTTGATCATGGGATGCTATATGAGGCACCTGGACTGATGGTGGCAGGAGGGATGCACCTGTCCCAGAGGGGGAAGAGGCTTTTGGGGCAGGACTTGGCAGGGCTCATTGATAGAGCTTTAAACTAGATGTGAAGGGGGAAGGGGAGAAAACCAGGCCTGTTAGGGACAAGCACAAGAGGAACACACCATGGCCCAAAGTCAGGTCGTCCAAGGAGGATTTAGTCCCACCAGTGTGCTCTGTTCGTTTCCTGAAATGCCTGTATGCTAATGCACGCAGCATGGGGAACAAGCAAGAGGAGTTAGAGGTTTGTGTGCGGGCTAAGGGTTATGATCTAGTAGCAATAACAGAGACATGGTGGGACAGCTCACATGACTGGAATGTGGCCATGGATGGTTATGTGCTTTTTAGGAAAGATAGGGCAGGGAAGCGAGGTGGTGGGGTTGCTCTTTATGTGAGAGAGCAACTAGAATGTATTGAGTTTCATGCAGGGGCTGATGAGGGGCATGTTGAAATTCTGTGGGTAAGAATTAAGGGGCAAGCAGGTGCGGGTGACACAGTTGTGGGGGTCTACTACAGACCTCCTGATCAAGGTGAGGAGGTTGATGAGGCTTTCTACAAGCAACTGAAAGCAGCCTCACAACTACAGTCGCTGGTCCTCATGGGAGATTTCAACTACCCTGATATCTGCTGGAAGACTCACACAGCCAGCCTTTCACAGTCTAGGAGGTTCCTCCAATGCATTGATGATAACTTCTTAATGCAAATGGTGGACAAGCCGACTAGAAGAGGAGCGCTGCTGGATCTTGTACTAACCAGCAAGGAGGGCCTTGTTGAAGCAGTGGTGGTCAATGGCAGCCTTGGCTGCAGTGATCATGAGATGGTGGAGTTCAGGATCCTGTGTGGAAGGAACAAAATACCCAGCAGGACCAGAACCCTGGACTTCCACAGGGCAAACTTTGGTCTCCTCAATCATCTATTAAGGGAAATCCCATGGGACAGGGTGCTAGAAAATAAAGGAGCTCAAGATAGCTGGTCAACATTCAAGGACCACTTCTTGCAAGCACAGGATCAGAGTGTCCCAATGGTTAGGAAATCTAGTAAGGGTGCTAGGAGACCTGCATGGTTAAAGAAGGAACTACTGGGCAAACTTAAGTGGAAAAGGAAAATCTATAGATCATGGAAGGAGGGGCTGGTCACTTGGGAGGAATATAGGACTGTTGTCAGAGGATGTAGGGAGGCAATTAGGAAAGCTAAGGCCTCCTTGGAACTTAACCTTGCAAGTCAGGTTAAGGATAATAGAAAGGGCTTTTTCAAGTACATAGCTAGCAAAACTAGCAATAGAGGCAATATTGGCCCATTGAGGAATGAGGTGGGAGCCCTGGTGACAGAGGATATAAAGAAGGCAGAGGTGCTGAATGCCTTCTTTGCCTCTGTCTTCACTCCTGCAGGGTCTCCCTATGAGCCCCAGATTCATATAGCCCCAGAAGAGGTCAAGATAGAGGAAGAGTTTGACATGGTAGATGAAGATTGGGTTAGGGATCAGTTGAGTAATCTGGACATCCATAAATCAATGGGTCCAGATGGAATGCACCCAAGGGTGCTGAGGGAGCTGGCGGAGGTCATTGCTAGGCCACTCTCCATCATCTTCAGTAAATCATGGGCAACAGGTGAGGTGCCTGAGGACTGGAGGATAGCAAATGTCACTCCAGTCTACAAGAAGGGCAAGAAGGAGGACCCGGGTAACTATAGACCGGTCAGCCTCACCTCCATCCCTGGAAAGGTGATGGAACAACTTGTTCTTGTCACTATCTCCAGGCACATCAAGGACATGGGGGTCATCAAGAGCAGTCAGCATGGTTTTATCAAGGGTAAATCATGTTTGACTAACCTCATAGCCTTCTATGAGGAAATTACTAGGTGGATAGATGATGGTAGAGCGGTAGATGTGGTTTATCTTGATTTCAGTAAAGCATTTGACACCGTCTCCCACAGCATCCTTGTAGAAAAGTTGATCAGGTATGGGTTTGGTGATCAGGAAGTGAGGTGGATTAGGAACTGGTTGAAAGGAAGGAGTCAGAGAGTTGTAGTCAATGGGGCAGAATCTGGTTGGAGGTGTGTGACTAGTGGAGTCCCACAGGGGTCGGTACTGGGACCGGTGTTGTTCAACATCTTCATCAACGACCTGGATGAGGGTATAGAATGTACCCTCAGCAAGTTTGCTGATGACACTAAGCTGGGAGGAGTGGCTGACACACCAGAAGGCTGTGCTGCCATTCAGAGAGACTTAGATAGGTTGGAGAGTTGGGCGGGGAGAAACATGATGAAATTCAACAAGGGGAAGTGCAGAGTTTTACATTTGGGGAAGAACAACACCATGTCCCAGTACAGGTTGGGGGCTGAACTGCTGGAGAGTAGTGTAGGTGAAAGAGACCTGGGGGTCCTGGTAGACAGGAGGATGACCATGAGCCAGCAATGTGCCCTTGTGGCCAAGAAGGCCAATGGCATCCTGGGGTGCATTAGAAAGGGTGTGGTTAGTAGGTCAAGAGAGGTTCTCCTCCCCCTCTATTCTGCATTGGTGAGGCCACATCTGGAGTATTGTGTCCAGTTCTGGGCCCCTCAGTTCAAAAAGGACAGGGAACTGCTCGAAAGAGTCCAGCGCAGAGCTACGAAGATGATTAGGGGAGTGGAACATCTCCCTTATGAGGAAAGGCTGAGGGAGCTGGGTCTCTTTAGCTTGGAGAAAAGGAGACTGAGGGGTGACCTCATCAATGTTTACAAATATGTAAGGGGTGAGTGTCAGGGGGACGGAGTTAGGCTTTTCTCAGTGATGACCAGTGATAGGACAAGGGGTAATGGGTGTAAATTGGAGCATAGGAAGTTCAAGGTGAATATCCAAAAAAAATTTTTTACTGTGAGAGTGACAGAGCACTGGAACAGACTGCCCAGGGAGGTTGTGGAGTCTCCTTCACTGGAGACATTCAAAACCCACCTGGATGAGTTCCTGTGTGATGTACTCTAGGTGACCCTGCTCTGGCAGGGGGGTTGGACTAGATGATCTCTCGAGGTCCCTTCCAGCCCCTAAGATTCTATGATTCTATGATTCTATGATTGCTGATTTCTCTTTTTACAAAACTTCTGAGTCCACGCATTTCTGCAGCTACTGATCCATGACAGCCAAAGGGGTCACTCACCTAAGCCCGCTCTCCATGTTCCTCTGCTCTCCGCATCACCCAAGACACACCAGTTTTGGTTTTGCACCAAGGTGAGTTGTGCCCTTGGTATGCTGGAGGGAAGGGGTGGCATCCAGAGGGACCTGGGCAGGCTGGACGAGGGGGTTCTTGAGAACCTCAGGAAGTTCAGCCAGGCCAAGTGCAAAGTGAGGGAAATCCCCAGCACCAGCACGGACTGGAGGGAGGGATAGAGAGCACCCTGCGCAGAAGGATTTGGGGGATACTAGTGGGTGATCAATAGAACATCAGCTGGTGTGTCTCTGCCAAAGCCAGCTGGGTGCTCCCCACCTGCAGCACTGCCTCCCAATACAAGACAGGCACAGGCAGGGTAGAGCAGGGCCAGAGGAGGCCACCCCAATGGTCCAAGGGCTGGCACACTTCTGCTGTGGAGAGAGGCTGCTTTGTGGGTAGCTGCCAGCCCCAACCACCCTTCTGCCCCTGCTGTGCTTTGTATCTGGGGCAGGAAACCATCCCTGTGGGCCCCTTTCCTCCTTCACCAGTTCTGCCTTGGTCCCACCATGCTCCCTCCTTCATTTGACACAGGTGCTGAAGCTCCCCCTGTGCCTGGCGATGCCAAGACAAGCTCTTTTTTGGGCCAAAAGCCACCATGGGCAATATTCACCCAGCTGGCATCAACCCTTCCCTCCACATCAACATAGTGGCCCCTTGCACCAAAAGCAGAGATGTCTTCTGCTCAAGGCAGCAAGAAAGGTGGTCAGAGGAACCATAGTTATGACACTGAAGGCTTGAGCTGATACCACTGTGCCCCTGCATTGGCAGATAAGGTGGTTCTCCTGGGTCTCCAGCTAGGACCCCAGGTCCCAGGCAGAAGCCCTGGCTGGTGGCTGTACTTGGGGACATGGCCCCAGCTCTTGGCAGCCTTGTTCTCCATGGCCCCACCGTGGGGGTGGCTGACCCATGAGCAGGGCTGGGGATCCATCCCCAAGCCACAGGCCTGGCGCAGTGTCCTCTGCTGTCCGGGGTCATGCAGGGTCAGACCTTCCCTCCAGGCACCTCCTTGAGCTCCTGCTGCCATTTGCTCTGAGCTCAGGGGTAGGAGCACAAGCTATACCGGGTGTGTGCAGGGAACAGGCGAGGAAAGCGATGCTAAGGGTCCCCAGACAGGCCAGGCAGCCCCAGGCTGGGGCTCCAGCTCTGACTTGGCTCTCCCTTCCCAAGGTAGGTCTGCCTTTCTGCTCCCTGCACAGACACCAGGACACCCACCCCAGACAGGCCTCAGCCCAGTGTCTGGGGGTGCAGGTCCCAGGAAGGTCGTGTCTCTGCAGGGCCACGGGGCAGAAAGCCAGCCTGGCCCTGCTGTCCTCTGGCTGGGAAAGCTGTCCCCACTCTGGCCCATCCCCACCTCTGTGGGGAGAGCAGCTGGGTGAGGCGCAGCAGGACGAGGCTGCCTCCAATCCAGCTCAGCACCCAGGGTTTGATCCCCATGTGTTCTGGGTGACAGGACTGACCTAGGACACCCCCCCACACACACATCCCACTTAACCACAGGCTTGGGAGGAAGGAAAAAGATCTGCTTTATTGAACCCTCTGAAAAAGGGAAAATGGGGGGCCTGGGACATCCAAGGCACAAGGGGAGGTCTGGGACACACAAAGATCTCATGGAATGACCGCTACTTCTTGCTGCTTTTTATCTTTCTTTCCATCAGCTTCAGACCCTGCTTCTTGATGGCTTCCCGGCTGAGGACAAGGTCAGAGTCTGGGTCCTCCACACTGTCAGTAGGGTCTGGAGGAGAAAGTGGGAGGGGCATGCTGAGGAGAGGCTGTGGGGCCACCTCCGCTGTACCCATGCCCCCAGGAAGACCCAGCACTTTTTGGGGGGGCTGGTGGCATCACAGTGAGCCATCGTGCCAAGCTCCCCAGCACAGGCACTGCTGCCTGTCTCTTCCCCCCACCCAGGAGCCCAGGGGGACCGGCAGGGCCTGGCGATGCCACTGGCAGGATCCACCTCCAGCAACGCTGGGGCTTCCCAGAAAGGGCTGGAGCTGTGGGCTGGTGGGAACAGCTCCCGCTGCATGAAAAACAGGTGCCGAGCTGCCAAAAACTCAGTGGCTCCTCCAAGAGCATCCAAGAGCCCAAGTACTGCTCATGCTTCACAACCAGCTGACTTGAAGACGAGGGTCTCTCTCCTTGCCCTCTCTTTGTTCCTGCTGGGCTTTGATGCTCACTGCGCCCCTCCAGCTGTCCTCATTCTCCCACAACTCCACCTAAAGCCACCACTCATGCTCAAAGATTGGAAACAGCAAAGGGCAGCCCCAAGGTCTGGAGACAACTCCTAGGTTGGTGGCTACTGGGACAGTGGCAGACAGGCAAGGACATCCATAGCTCCCAGTGGGCAGTCACTGCTGGGCTTTCCTACCTTGGACCCTACTGACTGTGTCCTCCAAGAGAACCTTCCGGTTCGCTGGATCATTTGCAGCTGCATTTTCCAGCCAGCTCCGGACCTTCCGAAAAGTCTGTGAAAGACACTCCAGCTTAATTGCTGAAGGGCAGGGGGTGTTACAACCCAAGGGCTGCCCCACCTCAGTGTCCCCCTCAGGGAGACATCCCACAGTGCCCAGTGCCACCTGGGGCTGAGCTGCTCCATGGCTCTTCTATGGGGCCACCTCCATCTTCCCAGCTGGCTTGGGATGAGCCATTTGGGAGAGACCCGTGTGGGTCCCCAAAGTGGGGCAGGGATGGAGCCCCCACGCACCTTGCTGTCCTCATCAGGGATTTGGGGTGGCAAGGCAGCCACCTGCTGCCCCAGGTGCTTCAGCTTCTGCCCAGTGTGCTGGAGCTTCTCCTCCACCCCCATGGCCTTGGCAAGGCTGTCCTGGAGTCAGAGAGAGAGCAACTGCCCTGGCGGAGAGAACGAGCCTCCAGGGGTGGCAGTGGCTGCCCCCAGTGTCCCCATGCTGTGCCGCTGCCCCCTGAGCTCCAGCCAGGCCATGCCCAGCCCAGTGCGGCACGGGTACCTGGCCGGGCACGGTGATGCCACGCAGACGAGCCAAGAGGCTGTCAGCGCTGCTCTCAAACTGCAGCCGGACCTCCTGGTCACGCAGCAGCCGGGCTTGCATCTGCTCCAGCCGAGCCTCTTCCTGCTGCAGGTTCCTCCGCAGCTCCTCCTCCAGGCCCCTGCAGCCAAACACAAGCACATCCATCCACCCAGGGGTGCAGGGACAACCAAACATGCTGCACAAGCTGCTCAGGTGTCCCCTGCCCCACGTGCCCAGCAGAGATTCTGCCTGCAAGCCAAGCCCATGCTGCTGGTCCCCCTCCCCAGGCTGGGCAAGGAGCAAGGGTCCTCCCCCCTGCTTGCCACAGCAGGAGCTCTGCCAGGAGCAGAGCTGGGGAACACCCTGCTCAGAAAATGTCCCAGTGCAGGAGGGCTGGGCAGTTGCAGTGGGACAGAGGAAAGAGCGTCCTCTCTCGGGACACCCATGATGCACATGTCCCCCTCCAAAGGTTGCCCGGTTGACACGGCTGTCCCCAGGCCAACAGCACCTGGTTGTGTCAGGGGGCTGGCCAAACATCAGCTCTGCCTTCCTCAGCTCCAGCTCTCTCACGGTCTCTTCCAGCTTCTGCTGCTTTCTCTTCAACTCCTTGATGGAATGCTCTGGGTCCTCTGAGGACTTCTGCCGTGCCAGGAGCTCACTGGGGATGTCCTGGCCAGGGGAGAGCATGAGGATTCAGCCCCCAGCACTCCTGCCAGGGATGGGATTGGGGCCATGGCTTCGGGGAGGTTTCTGCACTAGGGACTGCTGCAAGCTTGTGGCACAGAGAACAGCAGCTCCAGCCCTCCCTGCACTAGAGGGGCTCTGGGGGGCCTCAAGAGCAGAGGAGAGCAGATAACCCCGCAATGACACAAAGCAAGCAGAGAGATCTCAGCCCCCCCACCCCCCC